TGATCGAGGCCATCGGGTGGAAAATAAAGGTTTTTTTTCCCAGTGAAAAAAAGCTTGGAGGGGTTGGAAGTCGGATCTGAACGTTTTTAGAACAGCCACAGAAATAATGTTATTTTTTCTGTAGCGTTTGGGTGAGCCCTCCTGGTAAGAGCCGTGGGGCTGCGGACGTGTCGTGTAGTAAAACAAGGGAAGCCTCGGGGGGTGTTTTTGGTCTAAAAACTACTGGAGTGGGGGCGGCTTTCTTCTAAAAATTGTGCATCGGTAGAACACAAGTGGCCAAAGTTTGTCACTCAAAGGGAAGTGGCAGCGTGTGTTTCTTCAGTTAAAAACCAATGCAGGCGTTGAGATGCTCAGGTGAGTGCTGCTGGTTTTAGGTCTCTGAGGTTTTGCTTGTAAATATATTAAAAATGCGATAAATCCCTTGAGAGAGAGGCTCAGTTTTGAGAAATGTGAGGATTAGTTTAAGAAGAAAAAATAACTGTTCAGAATCAAAAATGCCACCCATTAAAAGATGAAGAAGCAGCTTTCTCTTGGAGCTCATCACACAGAAGGACTTCTGAGGCTTGAGCCTAAAATGCGCTTTTGATCAATATTTTGAACCCTACTCAGCGATTGAATCAGAGGCTGCATCAAGAGTTGCAACAGCTTTCCAGCACTGCCTTCCTTGTGTACATGATGTGCTGCTCTCCTTGCCCGGACGGCGTCTGGATTCCTCAACTTTATGAGTGGGTGACTGTGATACTATCACTGAACTGTGTTCTCTTAAAGACACCGTGATTAATATGACAAGTATTTCAGCTGTTAAAGGCAGCTTCATAAACATTAATTTCCACGTGTTAGAAAGTTAAAGCTTAATTATCACGTTGCCTTCTTTGTGCCAGTAGATTTCCAAGTGTAGTGTTTTGAAAGTTTTTTTTTATTTCTCAGGAAGCTGTTTTCTGCCGGGTTTGTTTTGGCGGTGTTTTTTTGGTTGCGTGTTGTGTTGGTTTTTTTTCTTTGTTTTGTTTTGCTGTCTCTATTAGAAACCTGATTTTACAGTGTTCTATTAATTCC